ACATCACTCGCTCGAATCAGCTATCGCGTCTGTTTTTAAGCGAATTGAACGGTTCCTTTTTGTTAAAAACCGAGCAAAGAACAACACTCGGAGATTCTCCGCTGCTCAGCATACGTCATCTCCTTCATCACTCGGATTGGTTTTAGGTCTACCCGCGATGTCCATTGGTGACGCCCTTCTGGAAATGATTTGTCTATGACGCTTTGCCAGACCATAACTCAGTTACAACTGAGAATGGTCTGGTTTTAACCAGGCTAACCGGATACATTAATGGACAAAAGTTTGGAATAATTTTGATTTTTGAAAATGTAATTTATTTCTGTGATGCAAATTTGAATTTTTAGCATTTCTCCAGTTTTCAGTCTCACACGATCCTTCAGAAAACAAGTCTAAATTGAATCTGTTCATCATATAAAACAATTGAGTCTCTTCAGAAACTTTGGACTAAACCGCTCAATTCATATCGAGTGGAGTTACAGATTCTCTCAGATTTCATCAAAAAGATCTTCATTTCTGTTGAAGATGAATGAAAGTCTTACAGGTTTGGAATGACATGAGGGTGAGTAAATTAATGACAGAATTTTCATTTTTGGGTGAACTATCCCTTTAAAAGAAAAGTTCACTTAAAGGGATAGTTCACTTTGAAATTAATTTTTGGCATGTTTTATCTTACCTCAAGGGCATCCAAGATGTAGGTGTCTTTGTTTTCACAGTATTTTCAATTTTGATATTTTTAGGTCAAACCGTTCGTGTCTGTCAGTCATATAATGGAGGTCTATGGTCACCACCTCAAAGGGCATGCACAAAAATGAACAAAGAAACGGACAGTATTTATATCGTTTTTACCTCTTGTAACCACAACCACGTCCAAGTGATCTGAGCGCCCTCAAGTGAGCCTGGGCGCTTTGGTCTGTGTAAGCATCGGTGTGCAGTTGTGAAAAAAAATAAATAAATATTCAACGTTGTCTGTCAAAATCGAAATCATCTTCCATTGCGATTTCCTGTATATCTAAATATGTTTAGATCTTCACAGTGAAGGGTAATGCTTCTGAAATCTCTGTGTAAACAATGAGTGATGTACACGCGAGAGAGATCACTTCCAGCGCTTGCGCAGACCGAAGCGCCCTCAGAGTACTTGGACGTGGCTGTGGTTACAAGAGGTAAAAACGATATAAATACTGTTCGTTTTCTCACACAAACCGCTCGTTTCGTGTCTTAGGCCATCAATGTGTACTTACATTTACAAGTCATTAAATCAAGTTTAATTGTGACTTCTCTGTGCATGCTCTTTGAGGTGGTGACCATAGACCTCCATTATATGACTGATAGACACGAACGGTTTGACCTAAAAGTCAAAATTTAAACTACTGGAGAAACAAAGACACCTACATTTTGGATGCCCTTCAGGTAAGCTAAAACATACCAAAAATGTATTTCAAAGTGAACTATCCCTTTAATATTTCTTATTTCATACTACTTCACACATACTAAAAACCAGACACTCAGTTCCACTCAGCTTTGTGAACGTGTTTTACCTTCTCCTGGTTGCGTGTGTTGATGTATTGCCTGTAGTTGTTCAGCTGCTGTTGTGACGGCACTCTTTCGGGATGGATGGGGAAGAGGTCATCACACAGGACGTCGCACAGATCTTGATCCTGCTGAATCAGAGACTTCAGCTCGCTCTGACGCCCACCCTTCTCCTTCAGCATCATCTTCACCTGCGTACGGAGATCCTTCTCCAACTGCAGCATCGTCAGCCCGTCTTCCTCCTGCCAAACACACAAAATATACAATCTGATTGGCCGGGTTTACAGATCATCTGGGAATTAGAGGGCACAGGTTTTTTTCCTGACACTTTGAGATACGTAAAATACACACCTGATAATCCAGCATCTGGAGTTCATCACACAGGCAAGCCACCTCTTTTCTGCAAGCTTCAATACTGCTCATCAAGCGCTTCTTCAACCCCTGCTCCTCTGCTATCATCATGTCCAGCAGGTTCTGGAAACACAATGAAGATTTCACATGGATTCGGTGTCGCCACTCTCTCCGGTTAATGAGAAGCGCACATGACCTGAACTGACCTTGATGTGCATGTGAACGGCGTCCGTGCGCTGACACCGTTGGTCCTCTGGGATCCCGATCTCCTCCCAGATGTCCTTTAGCTCACCGAGAGCATTGTTCAGGTATGAGACAGACTCTGCAGCATGGACCTCGCTGAAATTACACACGTTCAGATCTACTGAATACATGTCCTGTTATCTCAGATGCTATTTAAAGCAACACCAAGTAGCTTTTCCTCTGCGGTCGCCCTACAGGTTGGAAGCGGAATTGTCCGTTACTGCTGTCGTAAATAATTTAGCCTAGTGTCGCACGCACGCTGTATCCAGCACCGGCTTTCGAATGAACGATGTCCACAGACAAGGTAGATTATGTTGCTTGAGTTCATGAAAGTATGATGTATTGCGACATCAGAAATGAAGAAAAACAAAATAATGAGTATTGTAACGCTTGACATAAAGCAAGTCAAATTTGTAGTTTTCTTATGTCTCAGAACTACAGAAACGCGACCCGATCTGGCAATCTTACTTAACGTTGTTATAGCAGATATAGGACAGCAAAGCAAATCCAGAAGTGCCTTTCCTCCTGTTACGACTTAATGAAACCATTTTGGAAACATTATTTTAAAACGTATTTAGTGTTGCTTTAGAAGTATACGTGTTGCAAGTTAAAGATAATAAAAAAACTAACCATTATGATTATGAATGAATAAACGATCAAATCAACAGCATTACTCTACTATTACTCATTAAATTGTTCAAGATGTTTATAAATAAACGAAATAATTTGAATTAATAAATGATAACTAAAACGTGCAACATTATTGATTGCTGTTTGTGTTTAGTAATATAACATATTTTTATTCTCCAACAATAGCAGAATTATTGATTATAACTGATAAATGGGCTTCACAATGTTTATAAATGAGCAGAATAATCATTTGTATCAATAATTAATCATTAAAAATGTGTAGCACTATTGATTGCGGTCTGTTATGGAATAATTAAATAATTTTTTTTCCCAATAATAGCATAATTATTGTTCACCTTTGCTAGAACTAGAAATCTTTACAAGCAGAATGATGTTTTTTTTATTTTTTATTAATAAATGTTTATTAAATATGTGCAGTATATTGATTCAGTCTGTTACGGACTAACGTTCCGGAGTAATAAAATCATTATGTTCCGATAATAACAGAAAAGGGGATTCATGTTGTTTATAAATAAACAGATAGAATAACAATTTCTATTAATTAATGATCACTTAAATACAAAGAATTATTTATTGCTGAAAAAAAAATTGGATTAAATTATTGTATTCGACAATAGCAGAATTATTATGCTTCGGCAAGGTTTATAAATTACTACTAACATATGATTTGTATTAATAAATGACCATTAAAAACGTGCAACATTACTAATGACATTTTACAACAATAGCGGAATTATTGAAAAGGACGGTTTTAAATCAACAGTATTTGCAGAACTTACTTCCGGGCTAATGCTAAATAACATTCGTTTGAAAATGTTTAAATTAAAGTAAAATCACTAAAAACACGATACATCGATAATGTTCAACCTAATTTCAACTAAATCCTGAGCATCGACGGCAACTAACTTAAAGATAACACACAGACCGTCATACATTCATTGCTCCAAAAAATAATCTAGAAAGTACATAAACACATAGGCAACAGCTTCAAACTCTTCAACTTACCTCTTCCTCATCCTGTCCTTCGCCGCAGATCTCCGATTAGATATATATAATTAATAAAAGCTATTTTGACACTTCTTCCAAACTTTTATTTTATGCTTCATTCACGATCTATGCGACGCCGCCACGCCGACGCCGGGCTTGCAGTTTCTACGTCTTTCTCGTCTGACTAAGAAAATTCAAACCTCGCACTGATTTGCCTCTGGCCTCTGATTGGCCGAGACCAAGCTAGACAACAACATCATGCTCGCTGATAGGCTGAAGTCTTCATAAGACACATTACAGAGCACTGATTGGCTGACATTTGAAGCCAGCTGACTGACCAGTTTAACCAGCTGTAGCTTACCAGAGCCCGAACTTACTGAGATCGGGCGCTTTGAATGTAATCAAACCGTGATTGATTTGTTAGAAAACTGATACTGTTTGACAACTTTAATGATACAATTTTTATTAAATTTTAAACATGTGGAATACAATCCTGAAACTAAATTATTGACGCAATATAAATAAACACAATAGAGTGTTTAACCCTTGTGCTGCATTAGATTTTTAACACCGTTGAGTGCATTAAGGACCAAAAATGGCCACATATTAAACATTGCCCAAAATATTATATATTATTATTATTTTCCACTTATACCAAGTTAAATCTTTTAACCAGCATCAGTCCTCATCAAAAATGTATTCAATTTCAGGATTTTAACCATTTAATTACCAGTTTTGTTTGCGAAACCATCGATTTGTATAAGAGGAAAAAACACAAAAATTCAATTATTTTCAATAAACTAAATGCAAAGAGAAAACTTTAGATTTGGATTATCACAGTCCCACTTTGCAAAAAATCCCACTTACCGCGTTAGAAACCAAAAATGGCCACCTATTAAACATTTGCCTATTGCCTAAAATAAGGTGCATTTCCACCCATAGGGAATAAATATGTAGTGACGTCATCTGGTGGAATACACTATATAATGCAAATATAATGCTTTTGCTTCAAAATGAAAGGATGTTTGTGCAAAAATCATGTTTCATGTATTAATGACAGCCTCAGATTTAAACAACGTTTTAATGGGTTTCAATGGGCCATTTTTGGTCTTTATGGTGCTGAGTGTTACTATTTGATCTACACAGTGTGTGTTATACATATTTTGCAAAATGGGATCACATTTTTTACATGTATCCAAAAAGTCACAATTTTGCCAAATTTCATACCATTTGCATTAAAACAGCCAAAATGGTCAAAGAAATTAAACTGCAAAAGACCAAAAATGTCCCTAATGCAGCATAAGGGTTAATTAAATTCAAAGTGATTAATCTTCATCATGATGATGAACTCTGAGCTATGGTTCTCATCAACTAGTGATTAATCTTTGTCAGATCTACAGTTAATCATGTGGCATCAATATAAACAATAATACAATGAAAATCATTAACATAAACAGGACCTCTTCTCCATGAAAGACTAGAGTATTAAAGCTGCTATGGATTCATTCATTCAGAAGAATTTGTAAATAGCCTATTTATAGATTAATTTATGGAGCTGAAGATAAAGACTGATTCATATGCTCAGAGAGCATGTCGATGATTCATTTATACTTAGAGTTGAGGATTCATTCATTCATTCCATTGTTCATGCTGAAGCTCAGGATTATTTCATTCAGTTATTGAGATAGCAGAGGATCATGGTTTCTCAGCCGCTCCGGGTCATAAGCTCCTCCAGGGCTCTCTCTTTATGGTTCTCATGCAGCAGTAAAACTTCTTTAATGGTGCTCTGCTGGAAACCCATCTCACAGAACTGAGCCAGCAGAAACAGGAACTCTGAAGCCTGAGAGAAAAACAAAAAGGTTATTCACTACATCAGGTTGGTGTATCTGATTTGCTAAATGCTGATTGGATGTGTGTTTTGTATGCTGGGTGCAAACTGGTTGAGTGTTAGAAGCACTAAATATTGGTTTGTAGGGTGTACTGGATGACGATTGGTTGAATATTTGGAGCATTAAATACTGATTTGATGGGCGTCTAGTAATCTAGATGCTGATTGGTTAAGTGTTTGGAGCATTAAATACTGGTTTAAGGGGTGTTTTGCACACTGGATGCCAAATGGTTGAGTGTTTAGAGCGCTATATGCTGATTTGAGGGGTCTTTTGTGCCTTGGATGCTGATTGGTTGAGTGTTTGGAGCACTAAATACTGGTTTGAGGGGTGTTTTGTGTGCTAGATGCCTATTGGTTGAGTGTTTGGAGCGCTATCTGCTCATTCGAGGGGTCTTTTGTGCCTTGGATGCTGATTGGTTGAGTGTTTGGAGCACTAAATACGGGTGTGAGGGGTGTTTTGTGTGCTAGATGCCGATTGGTTGAGTGTTTGGAGCGCTATCTGCTTATTCGAGGGGTGTTTTTTCCAGGTCTCACTTTGCTCTCACAGTTCTGGAACATCTCCAAAGCTTCTTCCACCTGAGTCTTCTCATAACCCAGCCGACAGAGACTTTCACATGAAGTCAGGTACCTCAAAATCTGGAGGAAATTAATAGGGAATCAGATAAAGAATGTGTATGTTTGTACTATGTGCTTTTGCATGCAGTGTGTGTGAGTGTGTGTGTTACCTGATCAAGGCTCTTGGGTCCTGTCCTTTGCAGTGCTAGTATGGCAGTGCGCAGTGTGTATCCTTGTTGTGTAACGGCTTCAAGAAGATCCCTTTCTTCTTGACTCAAAGCACACAGCAAGTCTACTGGAGCGTCCTTCAGCCCTGCAGACGTCCGCGGACGCACATCCTAAAACACACCAGTAATCAAAAAATCAGCTCAACAATAGTCTTAAATAAGATTTACGGATTTGCAGCATGTGTATATTACATGTGAGGCGGCTTGAGGCCTGGCTGAGGGTGTGTTTATTACATGTGATGAGGTGTGTATACTACATGTGATGAGGTGTGTTTATTACATGTGATGAGGTGTGTATACTACATGTGATGAGGTGTGTATACTACATGTGATGAGGTGTGTATACTACATGTGATGAGGTGTGGAAACTACATGTGATGAGGTGTGTATACTACACGTGATGAGGTGTGTTTATTACATGTGATGTGTATACTACAAGTGATGTGTGTATACTACATGTGATGAGGTGTGTACTACATGTGATGAGGTGTGTATACTACATGTGATGAGGTGTGTATACTACACGTGATGAGGTGTGTATACTACATGTGATGAGGTGTGTATACTACATGTGATGAGGTGTGTACTACACGTGATGAGGTGTGTATAGATGAGGTGTGTATATTACATGTGCGGCGGGTTGAGGCCTGGCTGAGGGCAGCTGTCCTGCAGACGAGGGTCTCGGCTGTAAGAGCGTGTGTGAGTTCCTCCGCCCGCTGGTTCTGGTAACAGCAGGTTTTCTGCGGGGCTCTCTGGAGCTGTGAGGACGGCTCTGCGGCGTCTGGCTGAGGGAAAGCGGGACAGGCTTTTGTATGTCTTTTATAGAGGAGGCAGAGCTCGGTCGGGCCCTCTGGGGTGTGCAGGACGGGGTGGGGCGAGGGCTGGAGCCTCTCTGGGTCTGACGAAATGAACATCGCATGCACTGGGAGCCGGAGCTCTTCGGCCTTTCTTTGCTACGAGCATCATCTTCCTCAGTAGACGAGCCCTCGTCATCTTCACCGTAGCCGCCCTCGCAATCGGTGTCGGCGATGAGGAACTGGACCGTCCGCAGGGGGCGGAGCTTACGCGAGTCTGCAGCGCTGAGGCTCAGGCTGCGGGAACGTGGGCCCACTTCCCAGAACTCTGCGCTTCTGAGGCGCACCAAGCGGCGCTCCTGCGGGCTGCTGAACATCAGGCAATGTGGTGGGCAAGTGGGGGACACACTCGGGGGCGCTTTATTGGCCTTCCTGTTCTTCCGCTGCTGTTCTTCCAATATAGCCATAATCCGTTTCTCCAGAGAGAATGAATACTGTTGAACAGGACAACATGTGAGCATTAAAGGAGTAGTTGACTTTTAAAAAAACTTTTGCTGATAATTTACTCACCCCCATGTCATCCAAGATGTCCATGTCTTTCTTTCTTCAGTCGAAAAGAAATTAAGGATTTTTCAGGATGGACTTCAATGGGAACCAAACGGTTCAAGTTCCAAAAGACAGTTTCAGTGCAAACTGCAAACTGTTGAAATGATTTCAGACGATGAATAAGGGTTTTATCAAGCGAAGCGATCGCTCATTTAAAATAAATAACAAAGTTTAAATTTCTTAAAGGGTTAGTTCACTAAAAAATGAAAATTCTGTCAGTATTTACTCACCCTCATGTTGTTCCAACCCCGTAAGACCTTCTTTCATCTTCGGAACACAAATTAAGATATTTAAGATATGAAGATCGCTCCTGCATACAGTCCATAGGCTTCTTGAGGGACTGGCTCTTGCTGTCCTCGAAAAGTTATTAAAGACATCGTTAAAATAGTCCAAGTGACTACAGGGGCTCAATCTTAAGTTTATCAAACGACGAGAACACTTTTGTGCGCAAAAAAACAACAAAAATAACGACTTTATTTCAACTATTCGTTTCTGCGCGAGTCAGGTTACTAGTTTAATAACGTAAGCTTCTGTTATTGTACGTCACACGCATCACACACACATGACCAGCGTCGGCCAATAGTGAGCCTACGTGTGACGTAGCTCTACGCAATCACACTACGTTAACTGACTTACAGGCTCATGGAGAAGGAAGTGAATAGTTGAAATAAAGTCGTTATTTTTGTTGTTTTTTTGCGCACAAAAGTGTTCTCGTCGTTTGATAAACTTAAGATTGAGCCCCTGTAGTCACTTGGACTATTTTAACGATGTCTTCAATGACTTTTCGGGGACAGCAAGAGCCAGTACCTCAAGAAGCCTATGGACTGTATGCAGGAGCGATCTTAATATCTTAAATATCTTAATTTGTGTTCTGAAGATGAATGAAGGTCTTTACGGGGTTGGAACAACATGAGGGTGAGTAAATACTGACAGAATTTTCATTTTTGGGTGAACTAACCCTTTAAGCTCAAATGGTCGTCTTGCTCTGTTCTGTGATACGTGTTCGTGACTCTCCAGTTAAGTCATTTGGTTCATTCAATGAACGAGTTGACTTGGGAAAAGATTTGTTCATTTTGATGAACGAGTTCGAACAGGAGAGTCACGAACGCGCATCACAGAACAGAGGAAGGCGACCATTTGAGCTCATAAAACTTAAAATGTATTATTTATTTATTTTTAAATGACCGATCGTTTCGCTTGATAAGACCCTTATTCATCGTCTGGAATTGTTTAAAGTCCTTTGAACAGTTTGCAGTTTGCACTGAAACTCTCTTTTGGACCTTGAACCGTTTGGTTCCCATTGAAGTCCATTATATGGAGAAAATCCTGGAATGTTTTCATCAAAAACCTTAATTTCTTTTCGACTGAAGAAAGAAAGACATGGACATCTTGGATGACATGGGGGTGAGTAAATTATCAGCAAAAGGTTTTTAAAAGTGAACTACTTCTATAAGTGAAAGAAGATCCTACATATTGTACAATATTAGTTGTAAGTATATTGTTGCTGCATTCTGACCTTTGTATCACGCAGTATTTGAGCACAATCTGGGATCTTTATCTCTGGAGCTGCAAACGTCTCTTTCTGACCAAAATGTGTCTCCATTGAGTCCAGTGCAACTTTAAATGGAACCTCATCCAGACTGGACATTCTGCTGACATGAAAAGTTTAGGCAAGTTAATAATGTTTATGTTAATCAGGATCTCAGTCAGTATAGCTGAAGAACATTTTTAAGACACAGCCAGTTTAGCCACATTTCCATGAATATGATACACTTATGATACACACAGATGACTTTTTTAAGTATAAAGATCCTGTTTTTCCATGAATACAATTAAAAACATATATCATAATACCAGTCTTGGGTTTGTTACTCTAAAAAAAATAATTAAATACTAGCTACATCTTCAACAGTGAAAATAGATTACTGTACTAATTTATCTCTCTAAAATTAATTATTATTAATTATTTTCTAAATACCATAACAAAAATCCTCAAACAGTTGAACAATACAAGGACAGATATTAAATTATAAATTATTCTTGGACTGACCAAAGTATTATAAGAGTGAAGGTTACATTAAAAACATATTTAGACAATACAATTTGATGTTGATTGTAATTTATAGAGACAAATTTTATTTAATGCATTTACATAAGAGGTTTTTAATACAATTATAGAAAAATGAAGAGCAATCCCTCACTTTGCCTTTTCAAAAGGAAAATAATTAATTATTCAGTATAATCCATTACACCCAAACTGAATACTAATAGTATGATACTCCACCTTATGGTAGTGAAAAACCTTTAAATTAGAAACTAAAAATGATTTTGCTGCGAAATAATATTGTGGATAATGTAATTTTAACACTTATTAACTAATTTATTAACACTTATTAACTAATTCACTTTAACGTTGATATAATCGTAATATTTAGAATGAAATAATGTGAGATTTTGCAATGTAATAGCAATAATGTGATGCTGAATCACTGGTGTAAAACGTATTTAAAATATTTAATATAATATTTATACATTACAACATTTGCATGGTAAACTGTAAATTGGTATATCTGTATATTAGCATTGATTATGAAATTGTCTTACCTGTAGTTTATGGTAGTGTCTGTGAGTCGAAGGATGTGTGTGTGTGTGTATCGTATGTTCTTCGGTGTCAGATTGATTGAACTAAGATTCACGTGTGTATAATAACAGAAGCCTCATGTCCCCTGGTGAACTCATGTCCACACAGGCTTAAACACTGACTCACACTTCATAATCCTTCATAAACTTACATCGTCATAATAATGTTCCTTTCCATTTCTCACAAGATGATAAGTTGCTAAAGATGCTTAAGAGGTTCAATTCCTTGAATACTCAGATAAGCCTGCCTACCACGAACTGTGATGCTGTTTTGTTTATGTAATATGTTATGAGATGCGAGCAGACTGTCAGTGTGTTATTATTGTTATGGTGTTGTTTACTCGCCGTGAACCTGAAAAGGGCATCAGGAGATTACACACTTTATGAGCTTGAAGTGCTGCTGGGCCATATTACATAAACAGGGATGATTTATGTGGTGTGTGCCCTCTAGTGGCCATAAACTAAAACAGCAGGATTCTTGTTTCTGACCTTAAAGGAGTAGTTCACTTTAAAAAAAAAAAAAAACTTTTACTGATAATTTACTCGCCCCCATGTCATCCAAGATGTCTCCATATAATGGACTTCAATGGAACCAAACGGTTCAAGGTCCAAAAAACAGTTTCAGTAGAAACTGCAAACTGTTCAAAGGGCTTTAAACAATTCCAGACGATGAATAAGGGTCTTATCAAGCGAAACGATCGCTCATTTAAAAAAAAAATAAGCTCAATAATAAGCTCAAATGTTCTGTGTGACTCTCCTGTTCGAACTTGTTCATCAAAATGAACGAATCTTTTTTCGAGTCATTTGGTTCATTCAACGAACGAAACGAACGAATTGAATCGGAAAAAGATTCGTTCATTTTGAAGAACGAGTTCAAACAGGAGAGTCGAGTCACACAGAACATTTGAGCTTATAAAAACTTAAACTTTTTTTTTTTTAAATGACCGCTTGTTTCGCTTGATAAGACCCTTATTCATCGTCTGGAATCTTTTAAAGCCCTTTGAGTTTGCACTGAAACTGTCTTTTGGACCTTGAACAGTTTGGTTCCCATTAAAGTCCATTATATGGAGAAAATCCTGGAATGTTTTCATCAAAAACCTTAATTTCTTTTCGACTGAAGAAAGAATGACATGGACATCTTGGATGACATGGGGGTGAGTAAATTATCAGCAAATGTTTTTAAGTATAAAGACAAATTAGGCTACATTAAAACCAAAAAAACATTGATTTATGTTTATTAAAGATAATACATTTTTATAAAAGTACTATAAAACATATTTAATATTATTAACATCATGGTTCTGACCAATAAATGTCAACATTTTGCATCATTTTTTTTTTTCTATTTTTGTCTAAACAATAAAAATCTTGCCTTCACAAAAGTCATTTCTAGCCTATGAATTACTTTGGAAGTGAGCTTAAAAAAAAGTGTAATAAAAAATATATATATTTTTTTAACGGTTCAAGAGATAAAAGTGTGCCTGTACCTTTAAAGGGATAGTTACTTTGAAATAAATATGTTTATTTATGTTAACATATTTAGGTATGTTAACATAAGGTATGTTTTATCCTACCTCAAGGGCATCCAAGATGTAGGTGTCTTTGTTTCCGCAGTATTTTCAATTTTAATATTTTTAGGTCAAACTGTTCATGTCTGTCAGTCATATAATGGAGGTCTATGGGGTCCACCTCAAAGAGCATGCACAGAGAAGTCCAAATTAAACATGATTTAATGACTCGTAAATGTAAGTACACATTGATGGCCCAAGACACGAAACAAGCGGTTTGTGTGAGAAAATGAACAGTATTTATATCGTTTTACCTCTGGTAACTACAGCCACTTCCAAGTGATTTGAAGGCACTGGCGCTTTGTGGCTGTGGTTACAAGAGGTAAAAAACTATATAAATACTGTTCATTTTCTCACACAAACCGTTTGTTTTGTGTCTTAGGCCATCAATGTGTACTTACATTTAGGAGTCATTAAATCATGTTTAATTTGGACTTCTCTGTGCATGCTCTTTGAGGTGGTGACCATAGACCTCCATTATATGACTGACAGACAAGAACGGTTTGACCTAAAAATATCAAAATTGAAAATACTGCGGAAACAAAGACACCTATACATCTTGGATGCCCTTGAGGTAAGATAAAAAACATACCAAACATTTATTTCAAAGTGAACTATCCCTTTAACATCACTGAACCATATACAACACTTTACATCAACAAAACAATTTTTTTACGGGTTAATAAATAAAGTAGAAGGAAACAATAGCAGGTTATAACGTTTTAAAGTGTAGGAGCACAGTACACAACCAACACCTATAAAAACACACAAACAAGTCTTGTTTAAAAACATATTCATAGTTTTATTATGAGCAGTTAACTCAGTAATGTAGAGCTAAATACCATGAGATATGCAGTTGTAGGTAAAAAGCAGTTCTGGCAAATAAACGTTTGTAAATAACAGTAAATACATGATTTCAGTGAAATAATGTGAATGAAACTGATGAAATGGTGGTGGACGAGGAAAAACACACTCGCACACGTTCTCCCGGTTACAGACATCTGCTGATACTCTCTCGCTCAAGCTCTTTCTGTGACACAGAATTGTGCCCGTAATGCTAAAACGAATTTAAACTACACTCAAATTATTATATACATATTATAATATAAATCAATACAACACATTTCTACGGTGTGACCCGCAAACATTCAGCGTGACAGACACTGAAATATCTTTCTCTCTCACACACACACACACACAACATTGTTTCTCTGTAATGGAACTGTAACTGCAGCTTTGGAAATGGAAGACAGGAGAAAACCAATGTTCCCGCCCTCATCTGTGATTGACAGAGACGCTATCCAATGACCTCACACGAACCGTTTCTCATGCACTATCAATCATTAAATCCCTTTCTTTCAACCTGAATAATGAAATAAAACTAAAAACAGCGAACCGTGTCAATATCTGCATCCCAATTTGCATACTGTGTGAAATACTCTTTCTGTGGACGCCTTATTACCCATAATCCACTTGTGCGTAAGAGGATCGAGGGATTGTAACACTTTTTTTTTTGTTGTAATAATAGTGAAAAACTATACATCCAAAGGCCAAAGTTGCCACAGCAGTTTTAAATAAATGTAAAAATACAGTTAGCTAGGTGTTAACACTTCCATACAAACAATGCATTCATTTGATATATATATATATAGCAATACTAGCAAGTATAAACTTTCCAATTTTCACTCTAATGTCCATCTCTACATTGCCTTAAACACACTCACGCATCAAAATAACACTATAACAAGGACAAAATGCTGAAGAATGTGCCGTCCCTGGTTCAAACTAATGATTCACACACACAATCAAATATCCTCAACATATGAGGCTGGGGGTCTGATCCCAGAGCTCGCATTCTCATCAATTATGTGCCGAACAGAAACAGGAAGAGAAAGAATAACTGCATGCTGAGAATAACAAGTGCGTTAAATAGATCTAAAATACTGTAACAAATGCTAACACTTACTTTTAATGATTGCACATACATCCGTAAAGCGATATTCGGTTCGTAATTCTGTAAGGTCAGGGTTAGATTAATCCAGATGCGTCTCAAAAGCAGTTTTCTGCAAGCGTGAACGCTACGATCTGAATCTGGAGTGACTCTAGTTTTGATCTCTGTGATTGGAAATGTATGTACTAATGCTCTTAGTACTACTAAAAAACCAAACTGCATTTTGTTTTCGGTACATAAGGACACTTTCTTCATAAGGGAGGGTGTTAATATCTGCTCTTTGATTGTGTAAAATGCAAAAATATTGTTTTGTTCTGTGTTTTTCCGAGTGTTTAGTCTTTGGTAAACTTTACTTTACAGTGTGCTCTTGTGGTAGAAAAATATCCAATCTGTACTCTCGAACGAATCTGTATGATATATCAGGATCTGCTAAAAACATTTGATTGAAATGACTGATTAAACAACGTTTTTGCCTCGTTCCATTAATCTCTCTCTCTCTATATATATATACATACATACACAGACACATAAAGTAAGGCATGTTAGACTAAATTTCATTCATTCGGTGACCTAATGGAGGACCCATATTTTAGGGGCTCCTTCCACAAACTCCAACATGTGATGATTACATAATAGTTATCCAATAGTTTCATGAGTTAGTGGAATCATAAATCATGATGCAGCTGATGTTGGATCAGTGGTTTTCTGCTGATCCCTACAGCAGAATGAAAAGCATAACTAAACACACTGGCGGAAAACCCACAAAACGCTCACGCACGCACACACACACACACACGTCATGCAGTTTCACTTTGTTTATAAAAGCAGCTCTATAAATGTGCCATTATCTATGGAGTTGAATATGACTTCACTTGTCACTTTTCATCCTGTAAACGGTTCGACCGAACTCTCTGCATGGTATTAAAGGGATTGTTCACCCCAAAATGAAAATTCTGTCAGTATTTACTCACCCTCATGTTGTTCCAACCCCGTAAGACCTTTGTTCATCTTCAGAACACAAATTAAGATATTTTTGATGAAATCTGAGAGCTGGATCACTCCTGCATACAAGTCCATAGGCTTCTTGAGGAATTGAAACTTGCCAGCCTCAAAAAGTTATTAAAGACATCGTTAAAATAGTCCAAGTGACTTCAGTGGCTCAATCTTAACTTTCTCAAATAACGAGAACTTTTTGTGCGCAAAAAACAAAAATAACGCCTCGAGTCAGGTTACTAGTTTAATAACGTAAGCTTCTGTTGTTGTACGTCACGCATCGCACACATGACCAGCGTCGGCCAATAGAGAGCCTACGTGTGACGTAGCTCTACGCTATCACACTACGTTAACTGACTAGAGGCTCACAGAGAAGGGAGTGAATAGTGAAATGAAATAAAGTCGTTATTTTTGTTTGTTTTTGCGCACAAAAAGTGTTCTCGTCGCTTGAGAAAGTTAAGATTGAGCCACTGAAGTCACTTGGACTATTTTAACGATGTCTTTATTAACTTTTCAAGGCCGGCAAGTTTCAATCCCTCAAGAAGCCTATGGACTAGTGTGGAGGAGTGATACAGCTCTCAGATTTCATCAAAAATATCTTACTTTGTGTTTTGAAGATGAACGAAGGTCTTACGGGGTTGGAACAACATGAGGGAGAGTAAATACTGACAGAATTTTAATTTTTGGGTGAACTAACCCAAACCCAAGCACATTCACTAACGGAGTTAGATGATATGGTTTG